GACTTCACAGTACTTATTGTAAGATCATCCTGCTAACGCACGTCTCATTGTCAGAAGATTAGGAATATAAATCAAGCCATGATAAAGCACTAACTCTCCATTATTACACATCTATCATATTTGATTACTAACAGACTGTTCGATGTGAACCTAAATGCAATCTAGCTGAGTTAATGCTACAATGCAAGCTTTGATATTGTGCCCTGACTTTTGCATGTTTATTAACCTTCCTGTTGTACTTGGAGAACATATCCAGATTTAAATTGCCTTTTTTAAAGTAAAAAGGGAGAACAAAGCATGTTGCTAATATTAAACCCAATACGGGCCCATTTAGACTATCAAAACCATCAGCGCCGGGGTTACTATAAAACAGAACAGTCTCCCCAGCCAGGTTCTACCCATCTTAGTGAATCATTATAACTAGGGCACTATCAAATTCACGGTCCATTTTGGTCAATTTAATGGTCATAGGATTTAAAAATTGTAAATTTCATGCTTTCAGCTATTTAAATCTGAAATTTCGTGGTGGTGTAATTGTAGGGGTCCTGACCCAAAAAGGAATTGTGGGGAGGCTGTAAGGTTATTGTAGTGGGGGTTGTGGTACTGCTACCCTTACTTCTGCGCGGCTGCTGGCGGCGACGCTGCCTTCGGAGCTGGGCAGCTGGAGAGCGGCGGCTGCTGCCGGGAGCCCAGCGCTGAAGGCAGAGCCGTCACCAGCAGCAATGCAGAAGTAACGCTGGCATGATATGGTATTGCCACTCTTACTTCTGCACTGCTGCTTTCTGAGCTGGGCCCTCAGTCAGCAGCCGCCGCTCTCCAGCTGCCCAGCTCTGAAGGCAGCACACAAGTAAGGGTGGCAATACTGCAACCCCCCTAAAATAACCTTGTGACCTCCCCTGCAACTCCCTTTTGGGTCAGGACCCTCAATTTGAGAAACGCTGGTCTCCCCCATGAAATCTGTGTAGCATAGGGTAAAAGCACACAAAAGACCAGATTTCACAGGGGGTCTCCTGGCAGCTCAGTGGCAGAGACGGGGGTAGAACCCATATCTCCTAAGTCCCGGTCCGGTGCTCTATCAATTAGGCCACTTGGCCTCTCTTTAAGCCAGAAAGATCTTTCCATACAAATCCAAAGTCAGAGGCATAACTGCAAAAGCTTCCAATTTCAAGAGACTCTAGCTTCTCTCGCAAGGCTTGTGATGTTACCGGGGCAGCCATACGATGCATTGACAGTCTCACCAGACAAATACGCAAAGATGCAGCACACAGAAGATTGTGCCAACTGCTCCTCTCTGGGCGCGTACGCGGACTGGGGCATAAAAGGAGTCAATCAAATGGCAAACCGATGGTCTGACAAGGAACAGCACACCCACCTTTAGCTTGGAACTTGGGTTCAGCATGATGTACTTAATCGAGTTCTGGATGTTCTCAGTCCACGAGGCCAGCCACGTGACGGTGTTGTCACAGCGCACTTCCTTCCACTTGTGACCCGATGGAGGCTCGGGGGTTTGAGAGTCCCTGTGGGGTGGAGAGGATGCAAAGCAAAATTACGACCACTCCCTGGGCCCTTCTGTTCAAAGACCGATCAAAACCAACCCAATGCGAATGACACAAAACGCCAACCAAGGGAAAAGAGATGGACTTGAGCCCCGATGGCTTCTCTTTTAATAGGCAAGGTTTGTTCTTGTAAAGGACTAAAGAGATTTTCTGCTTAGTTACAATATTAAACATCCAGGTCTTTTACCCAGAAGACTAGAGATAACTGGAGAAGTAGTGGGTTTAACGGCACTGGGTACACCCAGCAATTGAATCTCATTGAGTGGGGAAGCGACTTTTTTACCCAAACTGCATAATATTGGATTAACACTTATTTAAGTCAAATCCAAGGGAGAAACGCTCTTTGCTAACCCTGCCCTCTTTAATGAAGGGCTCAGAAAGTTCCCAAGCCGCAGCTCACAGCCCTCCATGCAGTCCTCCAACAAGCATAATGTTGACAACGGCATTCCTGATATTTCTAAGGTAGAAACAAGCAGGATTCGGGGCGGGGCAGGGTATGGAGCGAATCTCTCAGGCTTTCCTCAGACCTCCCAAAGAAACAATAAAGGGCACCCCACCACGTGTTTCTCCTTTGCAAAGCTTTCATAAGAAATCCCTGGACAGATGGGAGATTGGAGTTGACTGGCTACTCCTGGGCCACTCCATCTGTATCTATGCAGGATTTGACTGCGAAATGTACCTGTCGCGTAGAAAGGGGAAAACTCCTCAGAAGAGGAGGCTCAAGATGTCCCATGTGAATTTACATCTCAGGAGTAACAGTAGAGCAAAGCAGTGACCTAGCCCTGCTGGAAGCAGGCGGGCAGCAGAGTCACTTGAATAAAGCCAAGGATAACGCCAGGGAGAAAATGTTGGCCTTTAATGGAGCAAAGTCCGTTGACACAAGCTGAGGATCTAGCCTGAAGAGTTAAGTTCTAGCTAATGGGAACTCACTCACTTGCTGCAGTTTATGATGACGTCCTCTGGCATGATCCTCTTCTTCAGCATGCCCATTTTAGGGTGGTCCCCGCGCCCACGGAACAGCCCCGGGGGCTCGGTTTTGAAGTTGCCTATTTTCTCCCGATGCCCGTCGAGGATGCAGTACCCATACTCCTCCTGGATCTTATCTGCCTCCTCCTTCAGTTTCTGATTTAAAAAACAATCCATGGAGAAACCACCAGTCCAAGGTGCTACCCCGGGTGCTGCACCTACCATTACCCACGGGGCTTCCAGAAGAAAGTTGGTTCACAAATTCAAGAGCTTTAAGAATCAGAAACCAGCCCCCTGCCACGGAGTTTCAAACCGACTGCCAGCAATCAACCAACAGCACTGACAGTGTGTGGATACTCAATGGCTGGAAATAAGTCAAACCTCTCTTTTCGAAGCAGGGGGACTGGAAGAGGCAGAATCAGTATTAATCAGAACATTATTAAATGATCCATGGCTGTACACATACAGGTCATAGGCACTGACTCTGTGGGTGCTCTGGGGCTCAAGCACCCAAAGAAAAAAAAAATGGAGGTGTGCCGCACCCATCAGCCAGAGCTGTTCAGCGGGGTCATCAATCAGCTGTTTAGCGGCTCAGGGGAGGGCGGAGAGCAGCGAGCGGGGCGGGAAGAGGCGGAGCATGGGTGGAGCCTCGGGGAAGGGGAAGGGCCTCCAGGCAGAGCATGGGTGGAACATCCACCGGGAGAAATAAAAGTCAGCGCCTGTGATACAGGATACCACAGCACCATCACGGATCAAGCCTGGACAGGGAAAGCACAAGCCCCAACGCACTGGAGCTAAACGAGCAATTTCACTGATTGCCGTAATTAGCGTAGATTTTATCATTGCTGGGGAGAGCCATTAGGAGAGAGACATGATTACATCCTCTAAAGCCACTACATTACACACACACACACAGGTAGCCCAAGTGCGCTCAGTGAGAAGGACGTGGCTAATGGCTTAACGTGTCCTCACAAAATTTGAACAGCCACGACCCTGCCAGATGATCCACACTAGCAGAATTTGATGCTTGTGTGGAGTCACAATGAAGTCAACAGGACAGAGATCCGATTACAGGATCGGAGCCTAAGACCGAGCGGCTGCATCAGAAACAAATTCTTTCTTCTGGAGAACTGGCCAGTAATTCCATAGACCCAAATCCCAAAAGGCAAATGTTATGGGCGTTTGAGGGATGATAATTTAAACCTACTGGAGTCTGACTTTGCTTCCATGTCTCTACCCAGAAAGGTGTGAAAAATAAGTTTTCCCCTGCCCTATTTTAAGATAAGGGGCAGCAAATGAGCGTGACAAACGGGCAGGGATGGAGGAGGGTAACAGGAAGAGGTTATAGACTACTACCCAGGTAACAGATACATGATTTTGAATCAGAAGTACACCTCTACCCTGATATAACGCGACTCGATATAACAGGAATTCAGATATAACGCGGTAAAGCAGCACTCCGGGGGGGAGGGGGGCTGCGCACTCCGGTGGATCAAAGCTAGCTCGATATAACGTGGTTTCACCTATAACGCGGTAAGATTTTTTGGCTCCTGAGGACAGCGTTATATCGAGGTAGAGGTGTATTCATTTTCCAATCGCACAGAGTGACGCAAAACATCTGGCATAAGGAAATTAAGCCACCCACACCCAGACTAAATATTTACCAACCATCCACAGGAGTCATTAGAAACAGCATCCTAACCTGTTTCTCCTCTTTGGGCAAAGCTTTCCGGGCCTCGTTTTTGTCCACAAAGTACTTGTGCATCTCTTTGAAGTCGCACTTCTCCAGATGCTTTATCTTCTTCCGCTCCTCCGAGGTCATTTCCTGAGCAAAAGCCAGAAGAGACTTGGAGAACAGGCAGGCAAATCTCATTTATGACTGGGGTTAAGCCGCATGGAGGGGAAATAACCTAGGTTTCTGGAGAGTCTGCCGAGCAGCAGTTTTACAACTGTGCTATCAATGCTGAAATCAAAGGCTAGGATTAAGCTGCCTCTGAAAAGTTTATTTTTCTAAACTAGTGGCCGCTTTTGAAAGTCTGAGCCTGTG